GCCCCATTGCCGTTGTGTGACAGGAAGTGCCAGAGCTCAGCCTGGACCGGTGGCTGAACTGCTGGAAGAGGTTTGGGGCCAATCGGACCAAGGTTTTCACTTTCAACACTCCTGCTTATGTTTTATGTTTGAGTAACACTCATTGGTTTTTAGAGGGCTTCAGGTAAAGTGAGTTTGCCTGTGTGTGGGTGAGCCTGCCGGTTCCTCAGAGTGCCTCTCAATTATTGATGATGCCGGCGATTTCATGGATTGTCTCTATAAAATGAACGTAACTTTATGCATGTGTTATCTAAAAGTGAATGGGTTGAAGGAACAGCTCAATCTGTAAAAGACCTGTAAGACAGAGATGAACACTGAAGGCCGTCTCAAGTACACGAAACTGCAGACCTCAGCTGTCTACCTCCCACAAGCCTGGAAAGCACTTTTACACATGTGTTGCCTCTAGGGTATGCAGAAGCAGCAAAAAGGAAACAGTTTTACAGATCAAAAACGATGCTCTTAACATATGCTTGTCCACTGTAGGTTCCTCTGTGAGTTATATATGGGTTAGCAGACTTTTCATGGATGAGGTCTGGTTCATGTCCACTAAGCAACACTAGGCAACTGAACAAGAGCAGCTGCACACATTTAAACTGGCATTGAAGGTCTCTTTCCTGGCACTTATTTTTCAAGGAAAAGGGAAAATAGTCCAGTTTTTTTTTTTTTTTTGACACATTTGGTCTTTGAAGCAGACGGCTCTCCACAAACTTAATAATACAGCCCTCCCTGTTTGGAGGGTCAAAGGCTGGAAGATTGTAAAATTCAGTTGTAAACTTTATGAGAGATGCAGAGTTACACAGCAATGAAGATTTGCATAAAAAGTTGTCTATTTGAATTGAGTTTTTCAGTCTTGAGTTTTATGTCACTCTTATCCATGTGTAATTGTCATTCCGTCTTTGCTGTGTCTTGTATTCTTTGCCTCTTAGCACGTGTTTGCTTTAGGGAGGGGGATGCATAGCATCTGAAAGGGTCACTAGGGGGCGCTAGAACACCGTATATTTAAATGCATTGTCTTCAGAAGCTGAGAGGGAGCCCTACCAATGTCAGTGTAACTCTAAGCCGGTCCATCCATTCCTTGACAGACATTTACTCAAATGTATTAAATTGTATTTTCCAGCTACAGCTGAACATGATTGATGAAACTGTAATCTTGTATATTGCTGTTGCTAAGCAGTGGGATCATTTGTTCTAGTGAAAGTAATTAAAGAGGAACCTGAATATGAATAACAGCAGGTTTGGAATATAACTTTCCAAATCACAATGCAGGGTTAGATCTTGTAATTATTTTGTACATTCCACTGATGTTATTGCATTTTTTTCTTCAGTTCTGAATTTATTTGGGTCAAAGGAGAAATTAAATTAGTTTTTTATCATAATCTGCCAGAAATTCTTGTTTCTTTTGATGATTATTGGAGATTGGCTTCTTGGATCATAGTACTCATCATCAATGGCAAAGTCAGCCTTGTATGGTTTAATGCAAAGAATTTTCCAAGCAGTACCCACATAAAGAGAATGAAAACAATTCAGAGTTCTACTGTATTGGGACTATTGGGACGCTGAGTCCTTGGATCAGGCCTGAGGTTTTTCCAGGGAAATGACATCCAGCATCTATGTAACATTGCCACATACCATTGGAAGGAAACTAGCAGCTTCTGTTTGGCGAACTGTGTTTGTGGTCAGGGTTCTGCAGAAAGTGGACCAGAGGGTGTGTTTTAATTTTTTGGCCTGTAATTCTGAAGGGACAAAGTGGATTCTACTCCAAGCATGAAACAGCAAGGTAACTTACGCTGTAAAGTAATATGGCTTCCTAGGGAAAATTCGATCCTATTAATTTTTCCGTCTGAAGATCACACCTGACCATGTCCGTCAGGATATTTTGTTGATCTAGTAGTAAGTGCCAAAGCTAATTTTCAGTCAGATTCAGGCGTCCACATTTACTATTATAAAGACAGTTAATCATTATAGAAGGTGCAGTCTGTACTCCCTTCTGTTGCGGATTGCAAAGGGCAAAATATTCATGTACCAGGGAAGTGTATGTGTGTGCTTTATTTTTTTTCCTGCATTTTCTGCTTATTTATGCAACTTTTACTCCTGGGCCACTGTGGTATATTCATGGTACTGCAAATATGTATACTCCTGTTTTTGGACATTTTGTATGTAAATGAAATTTATGAAATTTCTGAGCTTCTTAATTCCCGGCAGCACCTTTTATTTTGGCACATTAGACTTTTGCTACATACAGTATACTTAGAGTATATTGTGAGGGTAATATTATGTCAAAGTATTTTTGAAACCTCACATATACTACAAATGTTTTTTTTTGTGTTGGCATTCATCAGCTTCTCTGTTAAAAAAATGTAACTATAGCTGTAAATCTAAGCATATATGAGTCAGCAGTTTTGAGATGAAACACATCCAGCTGGTGGCTCTGCAGATTGTCAATCCCATAATATAGGCAGAATATGGCTATTGTATTATTGTACTATAACTGATCAATGACTATAAATATAAAACTCTTCACAAAAATAATGAATTCTGCGACATGTAGCCTAGTTTCCTTAATTTGAATCGAGCTGGTTAGCTGATGCTTCTCTCCATACCAATCTACATTTTTACCATTTATAGAGATCGTACTGCAGCGTTTCAGTGGTTACAGTGGGGCCTTACAGTGAATTACAGTGAACCTTTGGATTGCATGTCCTATCACACATATGTCACCATCTATTCTGTATTCTCGCAGTTTTCTTCTTTTACATAATGTTTACATTGCACGTTTAAAGGAGAATTCTGCCTAGAACTATTTTATTTAATCACTCCATTAATCAGCCATCCATCCATCCATCTATCCATCCATCGATTTTCTATATCCAGCTGTCCTATGCAGGGTCATGGGGGGGGTCTGGTGCTTATCCCACAGGCTCTGGGCACAAGGCAGGGAATAACACAGGACGGGGCACCAAGTCACCGCAGGAATCTTTAATCCTTTTACATTAATCACTAATCCATTCTTTCATTAAGCCTGAGACAATTCCTGATGCAAACAGAAAACTATGCGTGTATATTGTTGGTATTGTTCATTCAGCTGATGTGTTCAGCAATATTGTTGTGTTCTTTCTGTATTCTATTACGATATTCACAGGATACCCGATATTTGAAATCATCCCTAATCAATTTCGTATTCATCTTTGGTGCTATTAATTTTATAGGACAGGTGGAGAGGACGTTCTGAGCCTGGCTGCGATGGAATTGCATCCACCCATTTCTCTCTGTGTTCTTGTTTGTTTTGTGAACCAGATCACCCAAATAGTGCCCCCATTCTTTCTCTCAGTCCTCGTGTCATGTGGTTCTGTTCGCTGTCCCACCCGGAGCACATGGGACTGTCAGCCACCAGGTGTGATTTTCTATCATTCTATGGCAGTGTTTACGTCCCTCGGTAACACATTTAGAAGCAGCTCATTTGTAAAACACCATTCCGCATCGGTATACCAGGGTAATGAACCGCCTGCAAACCCAAGAAAGGACTTGAAATCAACAGCTTGCCGAGTGCTTGTTGGAGTTCTCAACCATACTGTATGTTTTTAGCTGCGCTGATTGCCTGGTATATTTTGAATTAGCTGCACGTCTTTGAAAAACAAATCCCTAATTATAAACTAGATCCATATTTGGCCTATTCAGGTGCATTGACAGAGAAGGGCTTTGGTGGGGGGGGGGGTGTCCAGCATTCAGACAGAACCAGCTTTGTGCTTCACAGCTGCTACAGTAACAGCTGAGAGGCTTGAGGGTTGTACCCTGTACAATTGGCAGCTGGTGACTGGCACCCCAGAGCTTTCCGTCCCCTAGAGAATGGGTTGTATTCTTACCACTGATTGACACTTTCCATGATGTGTAAGTAATATGCCTTTTTTGGTGGCCTGCTAGATCATATCCTAAAGTCTGAGTCTTCCAGAGAGCATGTTTGAAGGGCACAACAAAAAAAGCCTCATTCTGATGGTTCAATCAATGCAGTTGACACTATGAGCTGTGCTGCATCGTGCACCCAAGATGCCCTGTCATCTGCATGCTGTGATTATGCCATCAGATGAACAGAAATCCTGCACTTCAAACCATAAGGACTATGTCTCTGCGTGGTTGTTATGAAGGGAGTGCATGTGTTAATGATAAGGGTGAATCGGCGGATCGTCGTTTGTTTAAGCGACCATTTGGGGCATGTATCGATGTTTCTGATGTCTACGTTTATGCACGTGTGAGATCGCAGCCCTGAGCACAGTGGCCTGGGGTAGACGGCAAGAAGTAAAAGGAGCTGAGAAGTGCTTCACACCAGCCGTAATAAAAGTCTCAGGTTTCCGTCCTACCGCGAAGGGGAAACGCAGCCAGGAGAGAGACACGAGCGGCCAGACTCTCCCCTAGACAAAAACACCTTTCTTCAGGCACAGGACCTAAGAGCCTGGCCTCCAGTCAAAAAGCCCTTTGTGGATCAAGGCTTTATTCACCATTGGCTGGAGACTGTTTTGTCTAAGACTTGCAGCACATGTTTGCACTCTTTAGCAAGTGTTTAGTGCAGGCGAAAAAGTAGGTCTTCGTGTGGCTCTCAGTAGACTATGCTATTCACTTTTGGGGAATTCTGACTGGCTTTTGATCATAGAATACTGAAACATTTTACCACTGACCTGATTTATGAATATGTGAGATTTAATAGGGTGGGGGAGCCAGTCGCACTTCTACGTGTGTGTGGCGTGCGAGGTATGAAGTTACAGTGTTTTCCGCAGTGGGAAGAAAATGAGGCTGGGAAACCGGTGGACCCAGAAGGCGGAGAACCCACACATCGTTATGCGGAAAATGAAGAATTTCAGGGAAATGAGGAATACAAAGAGGCATATACCATCTTTATTCCAAAGGCATATCCAAAGTATAAAACGTTTAATATTAAATACACAACTTTCTTGTAATAAATAAGTGTATATACATTGGTGTGTTACTATAAACATAGAACAAATTGCAAAAATGAGAGAAACATGGGCTGGTTGCTAATAATAAACGGTAATTTCAAGAGAAGGAGCCCCGTAGCTGAGCTGCAGATCCATCATTCACTGGAACAAAGTTCTCTGCCTACCGCTCCAGAACCATTAGTGGATTCTCAGTTTACATCGCAGTGGCTGGACTCAGTTCAGCTGCACAAATACGTGTGAGACACCTTCTAAAATATATCTGGCATCTCGCAATGTTTAAAGTGAGGAGTAAGAGTAAAATGCGTTTTTACAATCCTGTCATTTTTCGACTTTTCGTTAACTGCGTGGTTCCTGTCTCTGAGAGCCCAGAGAAGCTTCCCCACGGGGCGTTTAAAAGACAATTTATTCAACTTGGAGAGATAAAACGTCTGCTTGTCCTCTCCGCTCTTAAATGTTCCAGTCAGTTTTACTGGCTCGTCTCACTATCTAACCTTCACACTAGATTCCTTCTCCCTGCGCATTTTTAGTACCTTGTTGTTCTTTGCTCTCGCCACAGCTGGAAATGGACGAAGCCCCTCGGGAGACCGGGACTTGGGGAAATTCTCTGGGTTTTGCGTGGTGAGAGCAGTCTATGTCAGTCTCTCTCACTCTGTCTCAGTCGCTTTCTCTGGAGTTCCTCAGCCATTCAGTCGCACAGGTGTGTGTGTGTGTGTGTGTGTGTGTGCACTGTGATCACAATCCAAGCCCAAAGGGGTTAAGTGTGTTGTCACAGAGTCACACAAAGACTTTTTCGTTTTTTCCTCTTGACACCCATCTGTATTAAACCCCTTCTTTTCCCCCTTTCCCGTTACCCCTGTAATTTAACAGGTGCTGGGGGTCGCTGCAGCGGGGGTACAGGGTTACAGGCACGCATCCAAGGCCGCTTGGTGGGCCACTTCCAGACGGTCCGGCCTTTGTCCTTTGTTGAGGGGTGGGGCGCCTGACGTCAAACGAGAGCGAGCGTGTGTTAGCATGAGCGGCTAGCGTGCCGAGTTAGAGGATGCGCTATAGGCCGGCTTGTGGTCAGTTAAAATGGCTATTGCTCCTGAGGGCAGAACACCTTAAAAGCTTTGCTCCTATTAAACAAGAAAGGGCGTCATACACAGCAGCAGAGGGTGTAGCAGTTGAGCTTGGCAGCGTTGCGCCCCGACCCCCCCAGCCGGTTGGTTTTGGGCAGCAGCAGGACGAAGGACACGGCCAGGGAAAGGTGGTAGAAACTGTGGACGTAGGCGTAGTCCCACTCCTGCAGGGAAGGACATGGATGGCATTCTGTATGAGGCATCGTCATCATGACAGACAGACAGACAGACAGACAGACAGACAGATTGATAGACAGACAGACAGACAGACAGACAGATTGATAGATAGATAGATAGATAGATAGAT